AACCCCCCCCCCCCCCCCCCTCCCACCTCCACCCACCCGTTCGTACCCATGCGGGGCAATAACTTCCGCGCAGGCTTCCTGCGGAAGATGGGCGTACCAGGTACACCCACCACTCCGCCCACCTCGCCGTCGCAGGGAGAGTTCCCGGCTCTGCACCGGCTCGACTTCCCGCCGCCCACGCGGGCGACTGCCGACGACACGGCACCGTCAGACAACCTCGCACCTCGTGTTGATGATGGTCGTAGTGTGGGCCGGAAGGATCGGGCGCTGGTGCTGCCCATTCTTGCTTCCGCAGAGCTGTCATCGCCGCCGTCCATGCATCTGCCGTCGCCGCCGGCGCTCAACACCCCGACACAGGCCTCCGTCGCTGCTGTCGCGCGCGCCGCCATGCCCGAGCCGGATCATGGCGGCGCGGTCGGACTTGGCGACTCGGTCGCCGCAGGTACCTCGGTCTCGGCCGCGCTGGCTGCCGGATCGGCCATGGCCTCTCTCTCGGCCTCGGCTGCCGCGGCGCACCAGGCCCACACGCCGCATCACGGCGCCCCCCCTCCGCAACCCGCCCGCAACCTCTCAGTCGCGGCCATCCTCTCGTCCGAGGTGGTTGACACGGATGCACTCCGTGCCGCTGTCGTCCGCTCTGCCGGCGCCCCGCACGAGTTCCGCCCGCTGGTCTGGCGGCTCCTCACCGGCGCGCTTCCGCCGCCGCAAGCTGCTTGGGAGCTGGTGTCTGGGTGCTCGCGGGAGGCGTACAACGACCTCGCTGCGGTTGTCGGCGTTTTGCTTCCGTCCACGTACGCTGATGTGCTGGACGGGCTTGCCAACTCGCTGCCGCCGCTCGCCTCGGCCCATGCCGGCGAAGAGGAGGACGAGGCCGTGCGGACCATCGCACTGCGCCTCCTCAGAGTCCATGCCACCGCCGGCGCACTCTCGCCGGCATCTACGCCGCGGCCAAACCTCCTCTCGCGACAGTCTAGCAGCGACGGCGATCCCGACGCCGAAGCCATGCTCGCCGACCTGCTTTTCGCTGACGATCGCGACTCGGACGACGAGGTTGGCGGCTCGCACCTCCTTGCGCCACACGTTGTCTCGGCCTCGTCTCCACATGCGCTCTCGCTCCACCATCAGATTGCAGGCAGCCTCGCCTCACACCCACAGAAGCGTAGGTTGGCCCGCCAGGCTGTCCCACCGCTCCCCGCGCTCCAGCTCCAGGCCGCAGCCGCGTACCTGACAGCGGCAGTCCTCGACGACGAGGCTGAGGCCTACGCCTGCTTCTCTGGCCTGATGGACCGGGTGCTGGTCTCGGTCGTCGACGACTACCCTGACTGGCTCGACACCATTGTCTCGCGGCTGAGCGGGCTCCTTACGTCAAAGTCTGCACGGCTTGCCGCCCACTTTGATGAGCTCGAGCTGGACCTGCACCGACCGGTCTCGGCCTGGCTTGCCTCGCTCTTCCTGGGCACGCTCGCTTCCGACTCTGTCGAACGGCTGCTCGACTGCACTCTCGCTCTTGGCCCGGACCTGTTTGTGTTCATGTCGTATGCGCTGCTCTACTCGTATACACCCAAGCTGCTCGGCTTCAAGTCGGCGGCCGCGGTCGAAGCCTTCCTCCTCGCCCTCCCCGCCGACGTGGATGTCTCTGCAGCTATCCGCATGGCGTGCACTATGACTGCCGACAGCGACGAGCCCCATGCATAGCACTGCCGCGCGAGAAGAGGTTAGTATTCTTCATTGTTACACCATGCGCACCGAGTATTGAGACCGCGATGGCATGCGGAAAGGCGACGAGGTGCCGTTGCCGTTGGCAGCAACAGCAAACGGCACCGGATGCGGCGAGACCGCGCGCGGGCGGTGCATGAACCCGCCCGGTGGGCCCGGCGACGGCGATCGCATCCGCCGCGGCGACATGCCCATAGCACCGGCGTCGATCGACTGCCGCCGGCGCATCATGCCGGCGGGCATCCCACTGGCGCCCATCGGCGCTATCGTCTTGGATGCCGGCTTGGACGACGCTGTCTGGCGTGGCTGCGACCGCGACCGCTCGCGGTTGGACTGGTCGCGGATCCGCTCGCGGCCGACCCGCTCCGCTCTAGCGTTGTCGCACACGTTCTCGTCAGCACCCCCGTCACCAGCCGCTGCTGCGGCTGCGGCTGCCCGCGCAAGCTTGGCCTCGAGCTCGGCACGGACCCGCGCTGCGCGCTCGGCAGCCGCCACCTCGCGCTCCTTGGCGTGCGCCGCCTTTTCGGCCACGAGCTCCTTAGCCGCGGCCTCGGCCTCGAGCTCCAGCTCGGAGATCTTGGCCTTTTGCCGGACAATGGTAAACTCGGCTGCGTCGTCTTGCGCGTGCAGCTGCGCCTGCAGCTTCTTGATCTCGGCCTCTTTGGCCTCGGCCAGGTGCTTGTAGTTGTCCTTGTATGCGCTCTCCATCTCGCGGATGTACGCGTCGTCGAGCCCAATCTGCATGTCTGCAGCCTCGAGGTCCGACTTGGCCTTGTACAGCTCTGCCTCGACGCCTGCCAGCTTGTCGAGGCACACGTCAAGCAGCCGGCTCCGTGCCGCCGCTGCTGCCGCCGCAACCACCTGCGACCGCTCGTCACCACTTGTGGCTTCCGGCACTGGTGCAGGCGAACCTGCAGGCACAACCGAGAGCTTGGCTTCCAGCTCGGCGATGGTGGCGTCGCGGCGCTTGACAGCCGCCAACGCCTTCTTCTTTTTCATCTCGGCCTTGTCGCGGGCAGCGACGGCGGTACGCGACGCGTGGGTCGTCGCCTCGAGCTGCGACTCGAGTGCTACCTTTTCAGCGTTGACAATCCGGAGCTTGTCGCACAGCTCCTGCACGTTGGGCGCCCCATCCTTGGCCTCCAGCACCTTGTTGGCCGCCATAAGTGACTTGATCGTCTTCTTGGCCTTGCGCAGCTGCAGCGTGACATCGCCGGCACCCGCGCCTCCACCGGACCCGCCGCTCGCCACCTTTTTCTTGAGCGTCTGCACATACGCCGAGAGCTTGAGGAACTGCTCGCGGAGGACCGAGAGGTCCGGGCTCTGCTCACCAGAGTTGACTCCGTTGAGGCCGTCGACCGCTGACGCGACGATCGACGCTACGTTGGCCAGCTCGGAGGAGATGGACGACTCGGGAGCAGACTCCTGAGCCGGCTCACCAGCTGCGGCGCTGGCTGCCTCCAGCTCGGCAATGCGTGTACGCGCAGTCTCGAGCTCGGCCTTGAGCGCGTGCTCTGCGGCCCGTGCCAAGGCCAGCGACGACTGCGATGAGCACGCTGCCGAGTGCGCGGCCTCGAGCTTGGCCTTCAGGTCGGCCATGGCCGAGCGGGCGTCCTCGGCCTCGCACTTGAGCTTGTCGTTGGTGTCGTGCAACGACTCGAGCTCGGTGTTGAGCTTGCGAATAGTGTCCTTGGCGGCACGCGCTGCAGCGTCGGCGGCGTCGGCATCGGCCGAAACCGCTGCGAGCTTCTCATTAGCGTCGAGCATCTCCTCCTGATGCTCGAGCTTGAGGTCGATCATGGCGTTGGCCTGGGAACGCGCCTCGCGCTCCAACTCGTAAACCTTGTCGTTGGCGGCATCCCGTTCGGCGCGAGCCTCAGTCAGTGCGCGGCGGACAGCGGCGACGTCCTCCTGGAGCTTGAGACCTGCGGCTCCGGCAACTTCCAGGTCGCGCTTCTGGGCCGCCAGCTTGGCGTCGGCATTTGCCAGCTTTGTGAGCAGGGCATCGCGCTCGCTCCGCAGCTCGGCTTCCTCCCGCTTGAGCGCCTCCAACTCTTCCCTGTTGTCTGCTGTAGCCGACGTTGTTGTCGAGTTCATCGAGCCATACGCACTGCCACCAGCCGTTGGCGGCGCTGACGGCGAGCCGTACACAATCGACCCAAACGAGGGCCTGCGGCCCCATCCAAAGAAGCCTGAGCAAGAGAACAGAAGGGGAGGGGGGCGAGAATGATAAGTCGGTGCATGTGCATGTGGGGGAGGGAAGAACCAAGTGGTGGGGAATGGGCATGCTCGTCGTCGTACTCATGCTTACGTCGAGTGTGCGCCGTTGCAAAAAGTTTGAATATTTTGTCGCAACGGTCGCCCCCCCCCTCTGGATCACCAGCAGATTCGTCACCGCCCTCCCCTCGCCCCCTCCCCCCCTCCCCCTCTCCCCGTCTTTCCCCCCTACTTCTCATCAGAGATCACTCCCACCCCTCACCTGGTTAAAGCTGTAGCGAGCGCAGCTGTGTGGCCGTTGGCGACGCATAGATGTTGTGTTCCGAGACGTGGCAGCTGCCGAGGTGATGACGGGCGTATGGCTGAAAAAAAGGCAGTGCCCACAAAACGCGCACTCGGACCGGGAGCACATGCAGTGGTGAGAGACTCCCACGCTGGCAGCTGATACATTTGCCATGGCTGCACACAATGAAGCCACGCTGCTGGATCTCCCAGCTGAGCTGCTGGTTGAGATAGGCAAGATGCTCGGGGCAGGCGACGTGGCGGCGCTGGCGTCGACGTGCACGCAACTGGCGTGGCTTGTGCGCGACAACATGGTGTGGCGAGCAAAGTACATCGAAACACTTGGCGATGTGCCACCGATGAGCCGGAGACGGCTCATCGCCGACAGCCCGTCCCACTCTTGGGCGGATGAGCTCCGCTGGCGGATCGCGACTCAGCAGACGGTGACCTGCAACTTTAACAAGGCGCCAAGCCTCGACGACGCGCTCGCGTACCTACAGTCGCTGGCGCTGTTTGATTGCATGGAAAAGGACGATGAGGTTGGTGTCGACACCAAGGTCTTTGACTTTGTCTTTTACACACCGGGCATTTCCAAGCGTCGTATCGGCGAGCTCCTTGGCTCTGCAACGTACGCGGCTGCGCGCGATTGGTACGTGATGGCGCGGATGCCAGCGCTTGTCGGGCTCGACTTTGCCGACGCGCTGCGCGATTTCTTGCACCCTCTGTGGATGCCTGGTGAGGCCCAGGCCATTGATCGAATCATGCATACCTTTGCCAAGGCGTACTGCAGCGCCAACCCGGAAGTCACGGCCTCGTCAGCTCAGGACGTCGTCATCGACGACAACGGCTTTACCAATCTGCTCACAGTCGACGCAGCGTACGTTCTCTCGTTCGCCGCCGTCATGCTCAACACCGATGCCCACTCATCGCACACCATCTCGGGCTTTACCCGGTCCTCGTTTGTGCAAAACTGCTCCGGGCTCGGCGTGCCGCGCGCATTGGTCGAGCACGTGTGGGAGTCGGTCACCTCCAACCCGATCCTTCACGACTCGGACAATGTGCTCTCGCCGCCTCTGGCCACCAGTGCAGCGCACATCCACACCGGCGGCATGCTCTTTCCCTGGCGATCTCGCTTCCTCATGCTCACCTGCAACAAGCTGCTGATATTCCACAGCGAGGAGAGCCAAGATCGCGCGCTTGCCAAGTACCCGCACCAGGCGCTCCAAGTCGTCCGCCTCGGCGAGCGTGACATCACCATCGAACCACATCCTGTTGCCGGCTACGCCACCCTCGATGGCTGGGTCACCAGAACTGGCCTCTTTGCGCGCTCGGATCTCCTCTCCCGATCAACTGAGACTATTGTCCGCATTCGGCTCCCTACGTCCGACCTCGCCGACAAGTGGGAGCTCCTCATCAATCGTGCCCTCAACACAGCTGTCGTGGAGGACGTATGCGAGCTTGATCCCGCGCGAGACGTTACCGAGGCCGTCCATAACCATAACCTCATCACCAGCGAGTGACGAACAGCGCTTGCCCCGGCGCCAGCATCATACGCCCCCGCCAATCAAACACGTTTCCATCGCACCTTCTTTCCCCTCTCCCCTGCCATCGCCCCCCATCGCCCATCGCCCATCGCACGTCGCCGGTCACCGGTCACCACTCGCCAGCCACCACTCGTCTGAACCATGGCCGAGACTCTCCAGGTCCAGCTGGTCTCGCGGTGCCGCGAGCCGGCCCACAGCAAGGTCCCCTCCTCGCTCTTCTCCGT